GGAAGGGAAGGGAAGGGAAGGGAAGGGAAGGGAAGGGAAGGGAGAAGAAGAATCCTTAACCCCACAAAAAAGCAGCTCTGGACCCTGTTAGCAATCCAAAGGGGCTTGGGCAGAGCGTTACCTTCACCGCAGGCTCATCCTTGCTGGGGTGGGACGATGGCAAAAGCTCTTTGTTGCCGGTGTCTGGGGCTGGGGATGTGGGTCTTGAGGGCTGATGGGACGAGATGTTGACCCCCCTGATGGAGTCGGGGAATGCAGCACCTGCCAGAGCCTGTGCTGGGCTATTTAAGGTGTTTCCAAGGCGCTTCAGGTGGGCTTTGAGCTCCAGGACGTGATGGTCATCCCTGCGGTTACAACGGTAATAGGTTAAAAATGGAGCCTCCCCAAAAAATACCACGTGGGGAAACCTGCGGGGACCCGCTGGGAACACTCCCCAGGTGGGGGACTCTGTGTCCCGGGCAAATATCCCACATTTTTTAATTAGACCTTTTAATTACTGCCCAGGGGTAAGTGGCCCAAGACATGTTGAGTCCCCAGGACCGATGCAAGGGAACCAGAGAGGTGGAGGTGGCTGGAGAAAGAAGCCAAAATCCAAGGAGGATAATTAAATCCTTTGGCCAGGCACGCAGCCAATAATTAAGACTTTTTTTTTTCCCTATTACATGGAAAACAAGTGACAACCAGTGTGGTGGTGGTGGCTCAGCTGATGTGTCCCTCAGCCCCCCAACGGGACTTGTGTGACCCTGGAAAGCAGTACCTACACCCTCGCCTCCTCGACCCATGGAAAACACACCCAACTTTCCATTTAAAGGGTTACATTTAAGAGATGCTCTTAGGTTTTTTAGGTTTGATTTGGGTTTTTCTTTTTTTTTCCCCTCTGGATAATCCTCCGGAGCACTGACCTGTGGGGGTTTTGGCAACACACTGGGGTCTTGGCAACCCCTCCAGGTTCAGCCCCGCAGAAGCACCGGGTGCCCGATGTGCGCGATTCCTGTGGCTTTCCTTCGGATTATCCTGTTTTCCTGGGATTTTGGCACATGGTGGCGAGTCCAGCGCTGGGCACACAGGGTGAATTAGGGCTGAAAACACCCAGGAGGGTGTGTGTGCCTTCATTTCCCAACGTTTGCAGCTCAGGATGCAGGTAAAATACTGGCGTTTCCCCAAGTGACACAGAACTGCGGCCATGTGTCCTGGTGACACCTGTAAATGGGTTTATTTTTATTTTCTGCTCATCTAAACAGTCAGTTTCTTATATATCGAACCAACTTGCCTTGTCAATCCTCAGTTGAAACTTTTTGGAGGGTTGAGAACATACAGGAGGAGCATACAGAGGAGCAGATCTATCAGTCCTTGTACAATTAAGGTAATTTCTCTGGTTAACGAAGGTGAAAAATCAGATCTTGTGTCTCAACTGGGTTTGGAAAAGCCGCGTGTTTAAGAAGCAGAGCTGATGGGAGACCCAAACCTTTGTGTTCCAGCGCAGGTTGTGCAGGAGAAACCTGCTGTAGCTGAAAGGAAAATAACTAACTAATGAACTAAATAAAGATATTTCTTTGATGGGACCATCTCATGGAGGTGGAGAGGACTCCATGGATGCTGTTGGGGCAGGCCAGCAAATAAAAATGACTAAAAATGACTAAAACCACCGTGGAATAAAACCAGGGATGGCTCAGAGGTGTGGGAAAAGCACTTGTGCGTGGGGAGGGGCTGCAGCCCCCGCCAAGGGCAACGCTGCCACAGGGACATCTTCGTGCTAAATGTACCATGGGGTGCTGAAATGGGCTTAAAATTTATTTTAATCATTTTATTTAATTTTTTTTTTAAGAAAAAGAGATTCCCCCCCCCCGCCGGCTCTATTATTCCCATGGAATTTCAGTGCGGAGGGGCTGCTGCCCCCGGCCAAGGGCAGCGCTGCCACAGGGACATCTTCGTGCTAAATGTACCATGGGGTGCTGAAATGGGCTTAAAATTTATTTTAATCATTTTATTTAATTTTTTTTTTAAGAAAAAGAGATTCCCCCCCCCCGCCGGCTCTATTATTCCCATGGAATTTCAGTGCTGTGGTGAGATTTGCCACCATCTCGGCATCTGGGGTGTCGTTTTTCCCTTTTCCCCCTCCTTTCTGCCTATTTAAAAATGAATATTCTTCCGCAGGGTTTTGGAAGCAAGTGAGAGGCACGGCACGAAACCTAAATATTGTTCATCATCCTGATCTTATTAAATCAAAGAAGTGTGTTTTGGGGGGGAACCCCATGTTTTGGCCCGGATGGGGCGAGGACAGAGGCAGATCCCACGTAGCGCAGGGAACCCGGCGTCCCGTTCCCGGATTTTATCCCGCTTTGCCCCCGTGCAAAACACACGAGGGATTGTCCTGAGGACAGTGGGGACCTTTATACCCCCGGACATGTTATCGCTGCTCAGCTATTTTCCCACCCACCCCACTTTGATGCACTTCCAGCCTGGGGCCTCCGTCCCCAGGGAGCCCTGGGGTGACTCGGGGTGACACGGGAGCCACCGAGGACCCCAAATCCCTGGTTTGGGAGATGGGGTGGGGGGTATTTATGGACCAGGTGCCGTGGCCAGGAGGAGGATGCTGAGATAGGACGCTGCTGTGCAAACACCGGGGTGGAGAACATCATCCTGCAAGGAAAACCAGGCCCAGCATCACAGGGGGGTCCTGCCCCAGCACAGGGAAAGCACAAATCAGCTTCAATTAGCAAAAAGTGCCCAATCAGGCCCAAGCCAGCTCTGAATTCGTGGGAAATGGGAGAAAATAAGAGAGAGCCCAGCTCTGCAGGACCATAAGAGGGGCAAGAAGAGGAGGCTGCTGGTGGCATTTCAGCCTCGGGAAGAGTCCCGCAGAGGGGCATGTCCCCATGGGATGGGGCACCGGGGCTTTTCCTGGGGGGTCTGCCTTAAATAAAGCAATTTTTAAGGCCACATCCCCTCCTCTGAGAGCAACGTGTGGCAAAAGACTCGAGGTATCCAGCACCTGCCCAGGGGGGCAAAAGCCATTGCGCGTGGGGGGACATCTCCTGCCTGGACCACGCGGCAGAAGATGCTCTGAGGCAGAGAAGAAGGTCCCTGCAGGACACTGGCCCGGGGTTGGAACTCAGGGGGGAGCGTGGGGGGGAAAACAAAGAGACAATTTTAGAAAGATGCCCATGATGGGAAATATTTTAATACCACTGAGTCACAATTTTTAGTACAAACACTCAAGAAAAAGAAAAACCACGCATTGAAAATTCCCACCCCACCCCATTCCCCCGCCAGGCACCCCGTCGAAAAGTTAATGCCATTTTATATTAAAAGAATAAAAAACATTCTTCTACGCAACGCTGTGCTCTTGATATAAAAACACCTTTTTTGATTGATTTTTTTTTTTTTTTAAAGCATGAGAGTTTCCTTTTCAATCCTCACCGCGGTAGCTTTGGGTGTGTATTTTTGGAGGGGGAACCCCAAAAGTTGGGGTTCGGCCAACCCAGCCCCTGATGGGTGAAGACTTCCTTTTCAATCCTCACCGCAGTAGCTTTGGGTGTGTATTTTTGGAGGGGGAACCCCAAAAGTTGGGGTTCGGCCAACCCAGCCCCTGATGGGTGAAGACAGACTATAAGCACTGATCTCCCCTGATGGGTGAAGAAGACATTTTTACAGGGGGGCTGCGATTTAAAAGAGAAAGAGGCTGTTAGTCCTGCGTGAGAGAGAGAAATCCACACACACACACACACACACACACACACACCCCCCGGGGCAAAAATGGCATCGCTTCCCCTCCAGCACGGACTGGGGCCCAAAGCAGTGCGTGGGAATAAAATAACATAGAAGAAAAGGAAAAAAAAAATAGAGCAAAATGAAAAAAATAAAGGAAAATGAAGAAAAAAATAGAGGAAAATGAAAAAAACAGAGGAAAATGAAAAAAAATGGAGGAAAATGAAAAAAATAAAGGAAAATGAAGAAAAAAATACAGGAAAATAAAAAAATTGGGGGGGGGGAGCAGAGACCCAGGCCGGAAGGGTAAGACAAGAGTAAAATTGAATAAAATAGAGTAAAAGGAAATAAAACAGAGTGAAATAAAATTTTTAAAAAATCAGCTGCTTCAGCTAATTGGGATTAACAAAAATTTAAAATAATAATAATAATAAAAAATACATATACTCAAGCTCTTTGGATGGTTTCCTGCAGGTTAGCACACAGCACATGCAATACAGAAAGACGGATGGAGGTCCAGGGGGGGATTTTGGGGGGATTTATGGGTGAAATCGGAGCGACGGCGTTTGCAGAGAGGTTAGGAGCAGAGGTACATTTTAAGGTGGGGGCAATTAGCACGTCGGGGCAATTAGCACGGCGGAGTTTGAAGACTTCAGCGCCCGCTCCAGGGGATCCTGTTGAAGGGGGGAAAGAGGGATTTGGACACAGCGGGGAGGCATCAAAATTCACGGCTCCGTCCATCTGCTGCCCGAAATAGCTGCGCCGGGCACCAGAAATAAAAACAAACCCTGGCTTTGTGTTCAAAACCCCCTTTTTGCCTGGTTTAATTTTTTCCCCCCAACGCCATTTATTCTCCGGCTTAACGAGGCTACATACTTGTGCCTGGAGAGAAATAAGGCCGGGGCAGATTTTTGACCCGGCAGAGCTCAGCTGGAGCCCCAGCCACCACCAAAGGAGAATTATTAATTCTCAAATTGAGAATTAATAATAATTAAAAAATAATAAGTGTTGCTTTTTGGGGGGCAATGAGGCGAGGAGGGGGGGGATGCTTGCACCCCCAAAGCATCCCTCTGGTAAAAGCGGGGTGCAGGGATGCTCCAGCTGGAGGTTCCCCCAGCTCTCCCAGCTTCATCCCGGGAAAGGGGGCTCCGGCTCGGCTGCGGGATGCAGGATGCAGAGGCAGATCTCTGTGCAGCACCCCCCCCCCCCGCGGCACCGGCACCGTGCCCCCTCGCTCCGCAGCATCCGCGTGACGGTCCCACCACCCACGGTCCCGGCCACCCCGGGGGGGGGACATCTGGCTGGGGGGGGGCCTGGCCGTGATGGATACAGGACCTATGGCCCCCGACCCCCTCTATTTTAGAGGATGGTGCTAAAAACGGTGCAAAAACCTGGAAGATGAGGAGGAGAAAGGTCTCACGGGGCATCTGGACACCAGGCGGGGTGGGAGCGCCGGGGTCTTGACTGGTTTT